ACCTGTGGAAAAACTGGTTGAACTGGTTCGCTCTATCCAGGCTCCCAGGTGTCTGCCTGTCCTTCCCCTTCATCCCCGTGATGTACTTCATTCCAGCCCACACGTCCCTCACACTGTTTTGTTGGAGTTTGGCCTCCAGCTTCCTCCTATAATTGTCCTTGCACATCCTCAGCATGTCCCTGAGTTCGTGCTGCACTCTCCTCAGCTCCTCTCTGTCTCCAGACCTGAAAGCCTTCTTCTTTTTGTTCAGAAGTTCCTTCAGGTCACTGGAAATCCAGGGCTTGTTGTTAGGGAAGCACTGGACTGTCCTGGCTGGCAAGGTGGTGTCCTCGCAGAATCTGATGTAATCCGTAAAGCAGTTGGTCATCCCATCGATGTCCTCCCCATATGGCTCACATAACACGTCCCAGTCTGTGTACTCGAAGCAGTCCTGCAGTGCCTCAGCAGCCTCTGGTATCCACTTCCTCACCACCCTGGTGTGCACCGGCTGCCTTTTCACAAGTGGGACATACTTCGGGGTCATCAAGACCAGGTTGTGGTCTGACCTGCCGAGGGGAGGGAGATCCTCGTCTCTAGCTAGCTATAGCACTTGACTAGCTAAAGTTAGCAACAAAACAAACACGAAAACAAACTCGTTTACCTTGTCGCCAAAAATATGTGGTAACTTCTAATAAATTAACCACACTAATACTGATGCCTAGTTTGTATTTTATGTAAGGTGATACTTTCCAACCATACAGGTAGCGTACTCTGAGAGGAACTGTTAATACAACTTGCCAATGGAACATCCGGTCTTCTTCTACACTGTGTGCTGGATAATACACGTTCCTACATTCTATAGTCATCGGGCGCCACCTATTGGTAATAATTACAATTGCCCATAATAAAATCAATACAACAATATATGTTGTGCTGTCCTCGCCCTGAAATTTCCCAATTTTTCAGCAGGCTAGACAGCCAGACGACGCTTCAATAACCAAACTTCTTTCTCTTTTTACTTGTTTATTAAAGAGTGATCTCTGACCACTGCCATCACTTTATCCATTGTAAACTGTAACATACAAAGCTTCATATTTGCAATAAACATTAAAAATTCATTCACTCTTGCTGCAAGTTAAATAAAGCATTTTCCATAAATAACTCCAGTGTACAATTATTCACACCAGTTACATAAAGCGAAAAAACTGTTGTTTTATCAAATAAACGGTACTTACGAACAAATCTTGTCTGAAACACAACGTGAAAGATAGCAATCAGCTTATTTCCAAAACTGCTTGGTGCTGTCATGATGGGTTCTCAGATAGAGACCCAAGAATGCAGAACACCACTTAACGGACACAGGGATGAAAAGTTTAACAGTTTATTGAAGGCACAACACACAGAATGTACGGATGACTGGTTCGGGCCTGGGTTCTGGTTTCACCGGAGTCTGCGTGAGAGACAGAGCGGTTATTGACTGCTGACAGGATTAGGTTTCCAAGTGAGTTCAGATTTGTACCTTGAGGGTTCTAGAGGTTCTCTTGGGAGAGTCACTGTTGGTTCTGGGGCGGAGTTTGTTAGCAGAATCCGCTAGCTGCTTCAGCGTCTCACGTCTAGCTTGATCAGACCTTGGGTGTGGTTCTTCAGCTCTAGTCCAGAGCTGCTTGGTGAATCTCAGTGGATCTTCAGGGTTTGGCTCAGAGGGTCGGCTCGGCAGGTTTGCTCTTCCAGAGCTTTCACTGAGGAGATACAGGTTTCCTGGAAACACAGAGAGAGAGATTAGGATCCAACCTGGATTCAGAGACATAGAGATTACTCTAGGATCTAGGCTT